ATCGGGAGAATCACCAGTGCCAACAATAACGTCTCTAGTACGGGCGTGCTCGGATTTTGCTTCGTTTGTGTGCTGAGGAGGCGGCCGAAGATGCGCCGGCCGAAGCTGCACCTGCGGCCCCGGCGCCTGTGGTTGCTCCGAAGCAGCCACCAGTTGCTTGGTACTTCTTTGTGTCGCTTTGCACACTACTGTTTAATACAAAAGGCAACATTCCCCAAGCCCCGTCATAAGTCCTTCACCCATCCAGGCTGGCTCCAATGTGGTGCCGCCGCGGCCAAAGGCAGCACCACCTGCGGCACCTGCGTTCGAGATGGTGGGGCCTCGACCCGGCGCCGTTGTGCGCCCGCCTGGTATCGTTCTGTGTCAAGATTTGTTAATTTGTTAAAGTATGAACCCCTAAACCCCTAAGCTTTAAACCCCAAACTCTAATGGACAGTTTCTGGGTTTTAGGGTTTCTACGGCTTTCCTCTTTTTGAGGTACTTTAAGTTCGGTTGTTTTTTCTGATGGCACATGCTCTGTTCAAGCTAGGTGCCTCCGAAAGTGGCCCCGATGGCGGGCGCAGTCAGGCCGGTGGCACCCAGGCCGGTGGCACCGGAGGCGAAGGTGCCTCCCTTTTGAAACTGGCAGGGGTGTAGCATAAATTTGGGGTAGGGATTTGGGGGATTCGGTAATGTAGTAGCCCTGTTTGCTTAATCTGCTTTGGACTAGAGGTGGTCCCGGCGCCACCTTCGGCTGCGAAGACCATGCCACAGGAGAAGCCGGTGGCTCTGCTTATACTTACGCAGAATTTCCTGCCATGTGTATCTTGTTGGAAATTTCTTGAAACCCTCAATCTCAGATAGAATTTGCAATGGTTTCCAACATCTTGGGCTTAAGTTTATATAGCAAACCTGCCTTTGAAGTCTTTCTTCTTCATATTCGACTCAGGCTTCACCTCCGCAGGGGTGTAGCATAAATTTGGGGTAGGGATTTGGGGGATTCGGTAATGTAGTAGCCCTGTTTGCTTAATTTGCTTTGGACTAGAGGTGGTCCCGGCGCCACCTTCGGCTGCGAAGACCATGGCAAAGGAGAAGCCGGTGGCTCTGCTTATACTTACGCAGAATTTCCTGCCATGTGTATCTTGTTGGAAATTTCTTGAAACCCTCAATCTCAGATAGAATTTGCAATGGTTTCCAACATCTTGGGCTTAAGTTTATATAGCAAACCTGCCTTTGAAGTCTTTCTTCTTCATATTCGACTCAGGCTTCACCTCCGCTGCCGGAGCCGGCACCTTCGGCTGCGAAGGCGAAGCCAATGGAGACAGGGCCTGTTCCACACAGCACCAGTGGCCCTAAAATGCGCCCCGCATTTGACCCCCGCTACGTCCCTGGCCTTGGCATCCCGGTTTCTCCTCCAAACGTCGTCGCCGCCCTGCTTATATTTACGCAGAATTTCCTGCCATGTGTAAATTTCTTGAAACCCTCAATCTCAGATAGAATTTGCAATGGTTTCCAACATCTTGGGCTTAAGTTTATATAGCAAACCTGCCTTTGAAGTCATTCTTCTTCATATTCGACTCAGGCTTCACCTCCGCAGCCGGAGCCGGCATCTGGTTCATCTGGGATGGCGCCGCCGGTGGAGCCGACTGGGAGGGAGCCTGCATCTGGTTGGAAATTTTCTAAATTCTTGGCCTTAAGTTTATATAGCAAACCTGCCTTTGAAGTCATTCTTCTTCATATTCGACTCAGGCTTCACCTCCGCAGCCGGAGCCGGCATCTGGGTCATCTGGGATGGCGCCGCCGGTGGAGCCGACTGGGAGGGAGCCTGCATCTGGTTGGAAATTTTCTAAATGTCAGATAGGGTTTGCCATGTCTATAATTTTAGATATAGAACTTGAAGTCTTTCCTTATTGATATTTGACTGAGGCTTCACCAGCTCCCGTGCCGGAGCCGGCATCTGGCTCGCAGTCGCAGCCGGCGTCAGAGGTCCCTTGGCTTCTTGTTTTTTTATCTCCTGAGCCCGAGCCCTCAATAGCAATAAACACTTGGTCCTTTCTGGCTGTTTTGCGTTTTGCGGACAGTGAGGCTGGGGCTCTCTCAGCCCGGCGGCGGTGGGAGGACGTCGCCAAAATGGCAGAAGAACTCCTGAGCCGCGCAAAAAGCGCGCAGCTCGAAGCCGAGGCCAAAAGGCGTAAGTCGTGACCGGGGCAGCGGGCAGCGGCAGGCAAATCTTCAACCCTTAAAGCCATAAACTGGCAACGCTGAACCCGAACTAGCCTGCCACACTGTCCGCAATCCATCAGTCCTAAACCCTCAACCCTGAAGCCTCAAACCCGAAGCCCTGCAGACAAGCCTGCCCGGTTGCGAGCCAGATAATTCGGGGGGGATTTTTTGCGCAGGCGCAGGCGGCCGAAGCCTCAACCCGAACCCTACATCCCAAACCCTGAGCCCTAGACTAACCCTAACTCCTAAAGCCTTAACCCTACAAAACCTGCCAGTCATCCTAGCCCCTTAACCCTAACACGAAACCCAAACCCCTGTGCGCCTGTAGCTGCGCCGCGTCTCACCTAGTCTGCATGCGGCCAGGCCGGCAGCCCAATCACTGCACATTTTGCAGCCCCAAACCCTAAACCTACATCCGAAACCCTACACTCTAAACCCTGAACCCGATCGCCGAGCCTGTCCCGATTAATGAGAACAACGGCAGACGGGAGTGTGGCGGTGCACAAAAGAAGTTTCACCTTTAAGGTCAGGAGCCACCCTAAACCCTGGACACGAAACCCCAAACCTCTAAACCCGCAATAGATCCTACCCCTACCATCAAATCAGTTTGCCCTCAGCTTGCTTGTGAGGACTCTCCGCCGCTGCCGCGGTGCTGCTGCCAAGGCTGCCTGCGGTGCTGCTGCCAAGGCTCTCCGTCAGGGCGGTAAAATGGTTGCTAGTCTTTAATTCAGGGTTTCGGGTTTATGGGATTTAGGATTTGGGCTTTTAGGGTTTAGGGCGCCTGTCACGGCGATAAGGTTTAGGCGATAGGGTTTAGCCTAGTAGGCTATAGGCTTTCTTCTAGGGGGTCGACCTTGGACCCTTAAGGTTGTACACTTGGGTTTCGGGGCCAGCTTTAAAGATTTCTAGGGGAATAAACAGGGGCCAAACCTTTCCTCCGGAGCCCTGCCGGCTGCTTTGCGTTAGGTCCCCGCCCCACTGCCCTGCGTTAGGTCCCGCCTCGTAGGTCCTCCCGGCTGCCCTGCGTTCGGTCCCGCCGCCCCGCCCCGTAGGTCCTTTCGGCTGCCCTGTGTTAGGTCCCCGCCCCCACTGCCCTGCTTTGACTTTGTGCTCCGAGCCGCTTCTCTCCCTCAAGCCGGTGCGTGGTGGGCGGGCTGGGTGGGGTCGGGCGGTGGGCGTGGGGACCTCAGAGTGCTTGCCGTAGGAGTTCTGCCGTAGGAGTGCAGGTAGGGCCGTGTGTGCGAGGTTCAATGTTTTTGCGGGGTTTCAGGTTGCAAGGCTTTGGGCTCCGAGGCTGCCAGGTAGTGCACTGCCTCCTCCAACCCCTCCCTCCTCCTTTGCCTGCTCCCTCCGCCCTCCGCCCAGGTCCGACCTTTTCGCTGGCCGGGGGCCCGCAGTGCTGCCCGCGGGTGGCTGTTTGTGCGTGCAAGGCTTTCGGGTTTGATGGGAGGTGCGAGGCTGCCAGGCAGTGTCCTGCGTTCCTCCCTCTCCCTTCTCCTTGCTCTTCCCGCCCAGGTCCGACCTCGTTGCTGGCCGCCAGGCCCCCGCAGTGCTGCCGTAGGAGGGTCTTCACTAGGAGTGCACGTAGGCTTTGCGAGGCTTCAGGGTTGTTCGGCTTGGAAAACTGTCGGGCTCCGAGGCTGCCAGGTAGTGCCCTGCTTTCCCGCGCCCAGGCCCTGATGTCGAACAGCCGAGCGGAGGAGGGTGCGAAGTTCACGATCATCATGGCCAGCTCGATGGAGCAGGACGCGGTGTCGTGGGAGGTACACGTACCCCTGGCGTGGTGGAATGGCCTCAGTGTTCACGAGAAAGAGCTTTACGTAGCTGGCGTCCGAGCTGGCTTGAGGGCGTCAGGCGTGTGCCCGGGAACCTCCCCCGAGCGCCGCGTGGAGTGATGGCCGCGGCCTCGGCCTTTGCCGCTCTTGACTTTTGGTGCTTTGAAGCCCTTCCAGGCTGGCCGGTGGTGGCGAGGCGTCGGGTAAGGCCGGTGACGAGTGAGAGGCCCGACCTTCGGCCTTGCACTGCGGCTTGGGTTGGCTCGGGACCCCGCTGCTCCGCGCCAGGTCTTTCTCGGTGGCGATCCGAAGCAGTGAGACCTCCGGCGCCAGACCAGTCCGAGGAAGCAAAAACTGCAGCGTGTTGCTTGCCTTGGTAGGGATCCTTGTAGGGGTAGGCCTCCCCCCTCCTCACTGAGTCCTCCCTCGGGCGTATCGCCGTAATTTCACCCTGAACCCCTGCACCCCTGGGTTGTAGAGCTGCTCAGCCCTTAAGGCTCGAAACCCGAAACCCTATACTCGAAACCCAAGACTCGATACCTTGAACCACAGAAACCCTAAACCCGAAAAGCAGTAAATCCGAAAATTCCCTAAACCCAAAACCGTGAACCCAAAAACACCCACCTCTTCCTCTTCCGAAGCAGGCCCAGCCTCCCGGACCGCGTGGCAGCGTGGAAGGACACGCCAGGCCTCCAGCCGTAGGGTGTCGGAGCGGAGCGCAGGTAGATGAGGCAGAGCGGAGCGCAGGTAGATGAGGCAGAGGGTTTGGGGTTTAGGGCTCAGGGGCAACGAGGCCTGCTGCAAAAAAAGGGCTTAGGGTTGCAAAAAAAGGGCTTAGGGTTTGGCGGGGTTTAAATCCCAACCCCTAAACCGTACGTAAATCCAAACTCTCTCTTTCTTGTCCAAAACCCAGGGGCCCGAGACCCTAAAAGCGACTACCGCTGCCGTTGTTAGGATTGGCATTGGGGCTCAGTGTGCCGGAGTTCAGTCAGGGGTTGAGGCTCCTGTGCCCCAGCCCCGACCATGGATCTTCCGGAGTTGCCGGTGGGCCTGCTGAAGGACGAGGACGACGACAACGGCTCGCATGGCAGGCCTCCGTGGCTGGAAAGGGCCCAGATGATGAACATCGGCAGTGACTGCTCAGGCTTGGAAGTAGCATGGGAAGCTTTTGTGGATGCGGTGGCAGAGGGTGGTGGCAGGGGCCTTTTCGATCTGTGCCACAGCTTCTCTTCAGAGACGGAGAAGGCTTGCCGTCGAAACTCGGCGGAAGGATGACGTCGCGTTTAGAAACCCCCCCCACAATGTTATACCTCACCTGGTAACGCCTTAGAACGTTTACTGCGCAAGCCCTGTGTCCTGACCCTCCCGAATTAACTCCTCAAACCAAAACCATGTTACAGCTCAGCCAAGGGTTCCTAACGCAGAATCGCACCGGCTTGCTCTTGGACAGTTTGCAGCAGCGCTTGCCTGAAAGTCTGGGCCCCCAACCGGCGCATTATTATTCATGCGGGCTGCCCTGCCAACCATTCTCTTCCGAGGGCAAAAAGAAGGGCTTGTCCGACCAACGCGGTCTGGCGATGTTTCGGGCCTTGCAAGATCGTCTCAGGGAGCTCATGGCGCTGCATCCGGATGGCCTGCAGGGCGTGCTGCTGGAGCAGGTGCCTGGGCTTCTCAAGTCCAAGGATGCGTGGGACACCTGGTCCACGGGTTTGCTGGAGTGCCTTCCCGGCTTCGTGATGTTCCACACCACCTTGAACAGCTTGGACTTCATGGTCCCGCAATCTCGGAAGCGCCTCTACATTGTCCTGCTCCGAGCCTCAAGCATGATGCAACCCTATGTTTGGCCACAGCCCACTGGACAGGTGACGCTGGCCTCTATCTTGCAGACTGAAGCTGAAGTCAAGGAGGACAAGAAGCACAAGGGGATGGGGGCCATGAAAAAGAAGACGAAAAAGTCCGCCGGCCCATGCACCACGGCAAAGCAAAAGGAGCGCCTGAAGAGGCAGCTGCAGTCCTTGCGCAGAGCCCGCCACAACCCCAACAGCATACTCGCCGCCATCGACATAGACTGTGGGTGGAAAGGCCGAAGATGGCGGATCGGTCACACGCAAACAATCACTCGCAGCCGCGGTGGCGCTGGCGGGTCCTTGCGCAGCACAGCAGGGCTTGGCATCGTGAGGGCTTTAGGTGCAGGTGGTAGGTTGCTCGTCAGGGCTTTAGGTGCGGAGTTGCCACCAAGTCTTTAAGCCTGAAGCTCTCTCTTACTGACGTAGACTGAGGCCATACCTGACCACCAAGCATCGACGAACCACACCACGGGAGCTGGCGGCGCTGCAGGGCCTGAACTATGGTCAGTATGAGCTGAAGGGCATTTCAGCATGCCAATTCGGGCAGATGGTGGGCAATGCCATGACGAAGACGGTGCTTGTGCAGATTTGGCGCCAGATTTTGATTTGTCAAGGTGTCCTTCCGAAGCCCAGGAGAGTGAGTAAGCATGCGAAGACGGTGCGATTGGCACCAGATGTTGGCCTGTGAAGGCGTCCTTCCTAGGCTTGGGTGAGCATGCCGCTCAAGCACTGAGCAGTGACAACAGCAAGATGAAAAGTATAGTTGTGTTTTAGGGTTTGGAGGGGCTTAGGGGCTTCGGGCTTTGGAGTTCGGAACTGTTGGCGCCTGTCACGGCGAGCTTAGGCGCCTTCCACGGCGAAGTAAAGTTCGTAGTCTTGAGGGTTTAGCGTTAGGGTGCATTGGATTTAGGTTCTAGTCCTAGATTTAGGCTTCGGTCTAAGGCGCCTTGCACGGTGAAGTAAAGTAGTCCGTAGTCTTGAGGCTTTAGGGTCAGGGTGTATAGGATTTAGGTACCCGCGCCTGCGGCCTCCCTCCCTCCCTCCCTCCCTGCCTAGTAAATCGACACTGGAGGGTGACGGCTACTGTGATAACCCGGCCGGGTGGTTTGGCTCCTCTGGGCCTTTCCTCCTGGTGTGTCTGCCGTAGTCAGGAAGGCAGGGTCACCCAGTGAGAGTGTCGTCGGGCGGCAAACCTCCGCCTTGGGGTGTCAGGGTTAATTACCCGGCCCAAGTCACGATTTCTGGCCGCAGTGATGCCCCTACGGGGGTGGAGGGGCCGGAAGTGCGGTCATGGTGAGGCTTGTTCCCGAGCCTGGTCTTGGAGTACTCTCTGGGACGAAGTTGCAGTGGAGGAGCGTGTCTCCGAGGATACTGTGACAGGGAATCTGATGTCATGATGCTCCAAACCTCCCCCCCCCCCTTCCGCCCTCGCCTCCTCCCACTTACCCCCCACCGCCGCCCACCTATATTTCCCTAGCGTCGAGGCGCTTGCCGTGGAAGCCGGCTGCTGGAGCGCTTGCTGGGCGAGACGAGAAGGACTGTTCCGGGTTTTAGCTACGCCGTAGTACCCGTAGAGCCCCGTCGTGGCTTTGATCATGAGGATTGACTAGGAGACCAGAATTGAGGTGTAGGAGATACCCACGCCCTTCCATTTCGTAGCTGTCCAGGGCGTTGCTGCTGCCTCCCCCCCCCTAAACAAACCTCTTTGTGGGACCAAAGAGGTTTCAGAATTAGGGGGAACACCGAATTCGGTAGGGTTCTTTTATTGCGGGCGGGGGGGTTCATGATTCAGGGGGCGGGGAGGGTTATAATAGGGGAAAGAAAGGGTATAAATCAAGAAGAGGTTTCAAGTCAGGCCACCCAACTCTCCAAGAAGAGCTCACTCACCCTAAAATCAATTGGAGCTTTGCTTTCTTGTGGATTCTCCGGCAGGGGTTATGGGGATTCAACACCGTTCCAGTCCTCCCTGAACCCAGGCGTCGCCTCCAGGTCCAGGGTGTCTTGCTTCAGTGGATTTTTTGGGGATTCCAACTAAACCCTAGACCCTACACCCTAAACAACCCTAAACCCTTAACCTTAAAAACCCTAGCCCTAAACCACACGGTGCATATGCCAATGGCTCAAACCCAGTTCTGAGGCCACTGAGGCCTGTGTAGAAATAAAAAAGATGTGATGAAGCTGAGGTATTACTGTATGATACAGGTCGTGGCTTTAACATCCAACAACGCAATGGCAAAGTCGGCCTCCTCTGCCTCAGAAGATTCGGACATGGACCAGAAGGACTCGGCCTCCTCTGCCTCAGAAGATTCGGACATGGACCAGCCATCAAGGCGCAGATCAAGGCAGCGTGGCCGCAGATCAAGGCACCGTGGGCGCACAAGGCACCGTGGGCGCAGATCAAGGCACCGTGGGCGCACAAGGCACCGTGGGCGCAGATCAAGGCACCGTGGGCGCAGCAGGAACCGTGCGAACAGATTTCGTTCACCGCTGCCGCGGCCTAGCGGACCCAGCCGGGCGGCGGCTCCGGCGGTGGATCCGGCGGCGGCTACGGCGGCGGCTCCTTCTCCATTTGGAGAGCCAATATTCTTGCCACGTCGGTTGGCTAAGAGCCCTGAAGGAAAATTCCCACTGATTGGCTATAAAACAGTCAGGGTGATCAAAGCCGGACCTCGAGAACGAGGAGATGGAGAAGAAGGAGCTTGCAGTCATGTTTGCCGAGCACAGAGAGATGCGGTCGGAGGTCCCGTCCCTGCGTACGAGAGCAGCTCGAGCGGATGTCTTGCAAAGGGAGAACCTCATCCTGACGAAAGCCTGGAAGAGCTGCAGTAGCGGCTTGGGTAGCCTGGGGATACGTGAGGATCCGTGTGAGGCCGTATTAAAAGAACATCATCCTGACGAAAGCCCTGGAAGAGCTGCAGAAGCGGCTTGGGTAGCCTGGGGATACGTGAGGATCCGTGTGAGGCCGTATTAAAAAGTCCGCACGTTCTGAGTTCAGCCCTCACCGGAAATCCCTTTAAGCCCCAAGCAGCTACTTTTCCCGAAACCTTCAGAACAGCTTTCGCAGGACTCCTTGGCGATACTAGTTGGCGCCTGTCACGGCGAGCCTAGGCGCCTTCCACGGCGACTTCGGGCTTTGGGTGCAGGGTTCGGTTTGAGGGTTTTGGGTTCGGGGTCTCAGGGATCAGGGTTTCGGGTTTTGGGTGCAGGGTTTCAGGCGGGATTGGGGCCTAGGGTTTTGCAGGTTCAAGGTTTTGGGATTTTGGGTGCCGCCGACCATGGACACAGAGCCCCGGCGAAATCCGAAGCCGTTGCCAGGATCACGCGCTGGCTTCGTCTCTGTGGCCTGTGCGCCTTGTGGTCCGTGTTTCAGGCGCAAGGGTTTGGGGTTTAACTGATCCCCCGCGTCCATGTATAAACTTTATACAAAGTAAAAACCTAAAACTCTAAGAATAACTCTAAACCCGAAAATGGTGCACAAGGTTGTTGGCCATTATACTGCAAGGATGACGCATAGTGGCTGCGGGTACCCGCGCCGTCTGCGGGTACCCGCGCCGTCTGCGGGTACCCGCGCTGGCTATGGAGCACATCTGTTCAAGCCCTGTATAACATAAAGTAACAGAAACCTTAAACCTTAAGAACCGTAAACCCTGAACAACTTTAAACCCTAAAATAGTAAACAAAGTTGTTGGCCTTTATACTGCAAGATGACGCATAGTGGCTGCGGGTACCCGCGCCGTCTGCGGGTACCCGCGCCGTCTGCGGGTACCCGCGCTGGCTATGGAGCACATCTGTTCAAGCCCTGTATAAAATAAAGTAACAGAAACCTGAAACCTTAAGAACCGTAAACCCTGAACAACTTTAAACTCTAGAATAGTAAACAAAGTTGTTGGCCTTTATACTGCAAGATGACGCATAGTGGCTGCGGGTACCCGCGCCGTCTGCGGGTACCCGCGCCGTCTGCGGGTACCCGCGCCGTCTGCGGGTACCCGCGCCGTCTGCGGGTACCCGCGCTGGCTATGGAGCACATCTGTTCAAGCCCTGTATTAAATATAGTAACAGAAACCTGAAACCTTAAGAACCGTAAACCCTGAACAACTTTAAAGTCTAGAATAGTAAACAAAGTTGTTGGCCTTTATACTGCAAGATGACGCATAGTGGCTGCGGGTACCCGCGCCGTCTGCGGGTACCCGCGCCGTCTGCGGGTACCCGCGCCGTCTGCGGGTACCCGCGCCGTCTGCGGGTACCCGCGCCGTCTGCGGGTACCCGCGCCGTCTGCGGGTACCCGCGCCGTCTGCGGGTACCCGCGCCGTCTGCGGGTACCCGCGCCGTCTGCGGGTACCCGCGCCGTCTGCGGGTACCCGCGCCGTCTGCGGGTACCCGCGCCGTCTGCGGGTACCCGCGCCGTCTGCGGGTACCCGCGCCGTCTGCGGGTACCCGCGCCGTCTGCGGGTACCCGCGTCTGCGGGTACCCGCGCTGGCTTCGGGTACCCGCGTAGTGCCCGCACTGGCTGCCCGCACTGGCTGCGTGTTAAACCCCAATCTGTGTGCAAGGTATTGATTTGACCTTCATAGTAGTAGTAGTAGCAGTAGTAGTAGTAGTAGTAGCAGTATAGTCGTAGTAGTAGTAGTAGTAGTAGTAGTAGTAGTAGTAGTAGTAGTAGTAGTAGTAATATTAGTAGTAGTAGTAGTGGGAGTGGCAGTGGCAGTGTAGCAAGAGTAGGAGCCGTGGCAGTAGTAGTAGTAGTAGTAGTAGTAGTAGTAGTAGTAGTAGTAGTAGTGCAGTGGTAATTGGTAGTGGTGAAACGGAGGGGCGTGGAAGGAAGGAAGGGAGAGGGCACCCACCCACTATCGAGGGCCAAACCCACCACGGAAAACACAAACAAACCAAACAAGGCGGGAGTGTTGGGAGCTTGGGCTGTGGGAAGGTGGCCCGGCCCCCAGCTGTGGGAAGGTGGCTCGGCCTGTGGGAAGGTGGCCCGGCCCCGGATGTGGGAAGTAGTTGGCGCCTGTCACGGCGAGCCTAGGCGCCTTCCACGGCGAAGTAAAGTTCGTAGTTTTGAGGGTTTCACTCCCTCCCTCCCTCCAATCAGGTTCCTACATTAGGGCTTCGGGATTGGGGCCTAGGGTTGTGCAGGTTCAGGGTTTTAGGATTTTGGGTGCCGCCGACCATGGACACAGAGCCCCGGCGAAATCCGAAGCCGTTGCCAGAGGTCACGCGCTGGCTTCGTCTCTGCGGCCTGTGCGCCTTGTGGTCCGTGTTTCAGGCGCAAGGGTTTGGGGTTTAACTTGAAGGTTCAGGGTTGTCTTCGTCCAGTCAGAGCCAGGCGAGTGGCCATGCGGTAGGCAGGCTGGCTGCCTACGATCACTGACTGACGAGGAATCCAAGGGAGCAGACCCAGAACGGAAAAGGAAAGAAACACCAACGGTTCCGGCAGCCACGAAATTGGGTCGGCCAGTCAGAGCCAGTCAGAGCCAGGCGAGTGGCCATGCGCTAGGCAGGCTGGCTGCCTACGATCACTGACTGACGAGGAATCCAAGTGAGCAGACCCAAAACGGAAATGGAAAGAAAGACAAACGGTTCCGGCAACCACGACATTGGGTCGGCCAGTCAGAGTTGTTAGAGTGGCTATCCCCGCCGTGGATAGCCACTCCTGCTTTCTACGTCACTACAGACAGGAACGGGTGCCGGGCTTGGCCCGGGCGGCGTCAGTGCTGGCGTAGAAAGCAGGAGTGGCTATCCACGGCGGGGATAGCCACTCTAACAACTCTGACTGGCCGACCCAATGTCGTGGTTGCCGGAACCGTTTGTCTTTCTTGCCATTTCCGTTTTGGGTCCGCTCACTTGGATTCCTCGTCAGTCAGTGATCGTAGGCAGCCAGCCTGCCTAGCGCATGGCCACTCGCCTGGCTCTGACTGGCTCTGACTGGCCGACCCAATGTCGTGGTTGCCGGAACCGTTGGTGTTTCTTTCCATTTCCGTTCTGGGTCTGCTCCCTTGGATTCCTGCTCAGTCAGTGAACACAGTCTGCTAGGACTACCGAAGGGCCACGCGCCTGGCTCGCACTGGCCGACCATTCTCGATCTCTTGCCGGACCTTGGTTGCCTCCTCTTTAAGACTGGAGAAAACCCCGAAAGAATGCAGCCACTCAGAAAATCACCGAAAGCATGATCAGCCACTCGGCCACCTCTGACAGGCCCCCGGCCACACGGCTGAAGGCGCCAGTGCCCAAGTCGTAACCGCACATGCCTTTCCAAGCTGTCCTTTTCAAGGAGAGACAGAGAGAGACATAGGGACAGAGAAAGAGAGAGACACGGCAGTGTGACAGTGCCTGACAGTGGGACCGCGAGCATTGGCGAGCATCACATGCCAAGACGATGCACTTGCTAGCCTGGCTGCGCTTTTACATGTGGCTCGAGGTCTTGATCTTTCATCGATAGCAGATAGCAACCTGCGACTTCCGTTCTGTGCTGCCATGCAGAGGGGTTTCCTGCTAGCTGCTGCAGAGAAGAAAGAGAAGAAGAAAAGTGAGAAGGAAGCCAGCGAGAAGAAGTCCGAATCCGAGAAGCCAAAAGCCTCCAACGAGGGCGTGCACGTGACATCTTCGGTGGGCTATCGTGTCGTGAAGGACCCGGGCATGCCGGGCATCCAGGTGCTGAAGTTCGACTCGGATGCTGATGTGGATCTGAGAAGCGTCGACGGGATGCTGAGAGTTTTTGCGAACGCCTCCAAGTGAAGCAAGGGGCATTCGTGGAAAGTCCCATGGTGCGAACTTTTCGGCACCTTGGGCATTTTGAGCTTTGGTCGTAGCGGCATCAGCGAAGCTGTTCCAGAAACAGTATGTTTGCACTAAGCAGCGGCTCTCCGGCTCTCTGATCCTGTCTGCGACACGACAGCTGTTAGTCGCTACTCGAAGGACAGTTGGGGGTAGTTTTTGGCTCGAGTGGTAACCTGTGCCGGCCATGAAGTGGTTCCTTGGGGGAACAGAACCTACAAAACCATGCCTTGCATGCTTTTGAAATCCTGCTGCAGACAGTGACAGCGGTTCCTGCGGGGAAGGGGGGTTTGGGTCCACGCGTCCCCATGGCAGACACGGCCGAAGATGTGCCGCAAGGCCTGCCAGGGCATGGAGATGAGCTCGTTTGTTGTTCCAGCTGTCGTCGGGTTTTGGAGTCCAGGGTCTACGCTGTGTTGGGGTCATGGCTGTGAGCCCGCAAACCCCAAACCCTGCCCTGGCTCAACTCGGCTTATGGCCCGGGAGTTTGCGCTTTCGGATTTGGATTACAGGTTCGGTTGCGAGGGCCGGTACCATATTAATTAAGCCTTGAACCCTAAACCCAAGTGGTGTGCAAAGTCTCTAACCTTAGAGCCCTATGGAACCGTGAAGTCATGAAACCCACTATGACAACTCATGGCTCGAGCTTGGACGGCCAACTCTCGAGTTCCAGGGGCTTCAGAACTCGCTTTTCGTGGCTTGGTCCATGGCGGTCTATGAGACGCCCAAGCACAGGATCATCAGCAGGTACCGCTCGCCCAGTCCCGAACCTGCTGGCTCAGGGCCACATGCGCCGAATGCTAAGCGCAAACGTGTGCAGCCCGAGGCTGGTCAAAGGCAAACTTTCCTTCATGCAAGCACGTGACCCTAAACCCCAAACCCAAAACATGGCTAGCCCTCAGGCAGTGGCGGCAGTGGTTCAGGAGGACAAGTCTCTTCTCGTGAAGGCCGAGCTCGAGGAGACCTCGGATGGCGATGCTGCAAAGGGCATCGTGAAGGCCGAGCTCGATGGCGGGGAGAAGACCCGCCGTGATCGGGAGAAGATCCGCCGTGACAAGGTGGCCAAGAGAACCGGGGACGACAGGGAGATCCGACCGAGTAGCCTGGTAGCATGATGAGTGTTCGTCAGAGGGCGGCTTCACTTATGAAATGCATTTCACGGCGTAACACTTCTCTTGCGGGGACCTGCCTCGAATAGTAGTTCTGGCTGTTTTGGATCTGCACATGGCACATGGTGCTGAGCCGGTTGAGCTATCACGTGTTTTATGGGTCTAGCTTCTGTGTTTCGGGCTTCGCGCAGGGACGTCAAGGGTTTATGGCAAAAGGGCTAGGTGTTTACAGTTCTCTCATTTGACATGAGGAATGACGGTGGGCGAATGGAAGGAGATCACGCTCATGTTTGCCGAGCACAGAGAGATGCGGTCGGAGGTCCCGTCCCTGCGTACGAGAGCAGCTCGAGCGGATGTCTTGCAAAGGGAGAACCTCATCCTGACGAAAGCCCTGGAAGAGCTGCAGAAGCGGCTTGGGTAGCCTGGGGATACATGAGGATCCGTGTGAGGCCGTGTTAAAAAGTCCGCATGTTCTGAGTTCAGCCCTCACCGGAAATCCCTTTAAGCCCCAAGCAGCTACTTTTCCCGAAACCTTCAGAACAGCTTTCGCAGGACTCCTTGGCGATACTAGTTGGCGCCTGTCACGGCGAGCCTAGGCGCCTTCCACGGCGACTTCGGGCTTTGGGCGCAGGGTTCGGTTTGAGGGTTTTGGGTTCAGGGTCTCAGGGATCAGGGTTTCGGGTTTTTGGGTGCAGGGTTTCAGGTTTTAGGGGCACTTTAGGTATTTGGGTGTCAGGGTTTGAGGGTTTTAGGGTCGGCTCGGGTTTTGGGTGTCAATTTGAAGACAAGGGCCGCTTATGAAGTTATGAAGCAAGGCATCGATGATGTGTGATGAGCAGATCTGTTCAAGCCTTGTATAACATAAAGTAACACAAACCTTAAACCTTAAGAACCGTAAACCCTAGAACACTCTATGTAAATCCGTGGCACACAAAAATCAATGTCGGACTCTTCATCTTGAGTTGGTGGATCTGTTTGTCTGCCTTACCAAGGGGGTGAAACCTGCCGGGCAACAAAAAAAAAGGGGTTTCATCCCTCAGACCGCTGGCCGGGTCTGAGGCCAGTCCTCTGTGAAGTCCAGTGCCGGACGGGGTTTGAGGCCAACTTGCCCCTAGCCCGCGGGGGCATATGACAGCAGGACCATGGGCTATCAGGTGCCTGCTGGGCTCCGGGAACGGCGCTGGACCAGTCCAGAAACGGGCTCGGCGGGGGGGTGCGTCCCGCTTCCGTCCGAACTGTTTGGGAGGCCTTCTGATTGTTTGTTGGCTGTGTTGTGCGTCGCTGTCGCTAATACACATGCCGGCGAAGCCGCGAAGCCCTTCTTGCAGTGCTGCCATGGCCACCGCATGCCACCGCTGCTGTTACTGCTATTTCGTCTACTTCTACCTCTTGGTGGATCTGTTTGTCTGCCTTACCAAGGGGGTGAAACCTGCCGGGCAACAAAAAAAAAGGGGTTTCATCCCTCAGACCGCTGGCCGGGTCTGAGGCCAGTCCTCTGTGAAGTCCAGTGCCGGACGGGGTTTGAGGCCAACTTGCCCCTAGCCCGCGGGGGCATATGACAGCAGGACCATGGGCTATCAGGTGCCTGCTGGGCTCCGGGAACGGCGCTGGACCAGTCCAGAAACGGGCTCGGCGGGGGGGTGCGTCCCGCTTCCGTCCGAACTGTTTGGGAGGCCTTCTGATTGTTTGTTGGCTGTGTTGTGCGTCGCTGTCGCTAATACACATGCCGGCGAAGCCGCGAAGCCCTTCTTGCAGTGCTGCCATGGCCACCGCATGCCACCGCTGCTGTTACTGCTATTTCGTCTACTTCTACCTCTTGTGTCTCCGCGGTTAGAGTAAGCAGTCGATCAGCAACGGGCTGTCTTTCGTGGCTCAGAAGACCAACAAGTCCCAAACGCCAACTGTAACACAACTCGAAGCACGTCTTGCAAATCAAAGTCATGCATCACTCTACGAGCCTAGGAGAGGCCAGCGGCACCGGCCGCCTCGTCAGCACGGGCTCCCTTCAAGGTACAAAACCCTGAAGTTAACTCTAGACCGTAAAGCTTGCAAGATGGCGGCGGCCCTGCCTGCTGTCCTCAGGGCGGGCGTCCGGAATCCCTGTGCTCGGGGCGGCAGCGGGCAGCTGAGTAGCCAATCGCAAGCGATTGTCTACAAACTTGCGTGCGTATTGCGACCACACCTGCCCGGGGTCCTGGAGGCGCTGCAATGGGACAAACGTCTCCGTCTGAACACGGTAGTGGCCAGACTCACTGGTGTGAGCAGGCAATGCATGAACACACAAGCGGCGTGGGATGCTTTTGTATCCAATTTCCTATTCTTTATAAGTTATAAGGGAATCCGTCCGCACATATTTTTGGCGGGCACAACTCAGTTAATTGAGGTGAAGAAGCTGCAAGCAGCAGATGGACGGCCCCGCGAGGTGAAGAATTGTGGAGGTCGGAAAAAAAGGCGCCTTGCCGATGAAGAGGCATCGCCGTTGCCGCTGCCTGACCTTACACCCTACACGGATGTCGTGGCTGACGCCTCGGAGATCGGGTCGCCGGAACAGCAAGAGGAGGAGGCTGAAGTACCTCCCATACTGGGAGCTTTGGCGCCACGTCCTGGTTCGGCGCACGGCTTCGATTCTGTATGTCAGCGCTTTCTGGAAGATAGTGACAGCTGGTATGAAGGGCTTGGTGCGCTGCAACCCGACCAGCGGGAGGAAGTGGTCGGGCTTCGACTGACCACATTGGTCTTGCGTCTTGAAACTCAAGGGATCGGCTACCGGACGTACGAGGACACCGTGGACTTTTTGGATGGGTTTTTTCCCCGCGAATTCGGCGAGCAGAATCACTCCAAGCACTTTTTTCAAGCTGTACTTCAGCGAGCTTTGCCGGTCCTCCACACGCGCATCGCTGAATGCATGCACACCAAGTTGACCCTCGGACTTGGATGCAACGCCCCACCCGTAGGCACACCCTTGCTTGTATTGGTCATTTTTGTGTAGTATCTAAAAGTGGCGATGCAAAGTTTTAACCTCCAACTCCACACTCACTCACAGGAGGGCTCTTAAGCTCCCGAGCATGGTGGTGCAGATATGCGACGGGCATCTGGCCTGGCAAGAATTCAGTTCTCCTCGCAGTTAGGGTTTAGGAGTCTGTGGGTGTGTGAAGCGGCTTAGGCTGCAGAATTGTTAGAGCATAAGGGGTAGAGTTGAGGGTCCGAAGGGATGTCTACTTGCTGGTTTTTATTTCTGCTCCCACTGGACCACAAGGTTTACCCCTGAAACAGGGGACTCGCTAGATGTTCACATGCTCAGTTACTTCACCCGGGACGGCCATTTGGCCACAGATTGCATGGACCTTACACCCGTGAGATCAACAGCGCCGCTTCAGCACTTGGCTTCTCTCACGCAAGCCAGAATGCAAACTTTGCGGGCGTTCGGCTTCTCGGCCGAAATGTGTCGACATCGCCTCGTTGGCCTGATCGGGGACGGAATCTTGGCAGGGCCGTACTCGAGGCACCACGGGCAAGAATTTGCGAAGGAAGCTCAGTTGCCTCGGGTGTCAGACTACCCTGCTTGTTTCTGGGAGTCTTTGGATGGCATGCATGCGACCGACAAAGCAGGCAGCCATGCAGATTTCCCCGAGCAGAATGGTCGCTCAGGGTACATCGCTCAATTGCACCGGGCTGCACGCAAACTGCGCAGCTTATTCGCTTTTGGCAAAAACCAAGCAGTGGCGAGGGCAGCAGCCAAGAGGCTTGACGGGGTTGAAACTCTTTCCTTTTGTTGTTCGCATTTAGGTTAGGTTTCGCAATGGTGCATGCGAGTCTTTCGTTTGGGATTCCATAGGCTGGGCGTAACCTTTCGCCGCCCGATGGCTCCTCAGAGCGAGACCACTCGCATGATCATCTACGAAAGCCGACGCCTGGCGCCGCACTTCCTCAAGAATCTGCTGACTATGGCGGTGTCGATTGCCATCATTCTGCAGCGGACCATAGCCGACAAGAAAGCCAGGTCGGAGAGGAGTGGACACAAGACAACTGTTCAGTGCGGGGTTCTGTCAGCAGATGCCAAGAAGCTCAGGCCTGTGTCTCTAATTGGATTCGAAACTCAAAAGTGCTCAACAAGTGCAGTTCTGCATTGCAAGCATAAGGAACCAGCCCCTTGCCCCCGAATAAACCCTACTGTTCTCCGCTTGAGTCGAGGCTGCTGGGGAGAGAGATGCTGGACCCAAGCATGCTCCTGTTCATCAGTTTGCGTTACGATGTTCGCATTCGGGGCGTGCTGCGATACGCGCATGCAGCTCAGAAGCAAGCCATGTCTGGATGCGCGAAGCTTGCAATGGCGGTGGAGACGCTGCAAGTGCTTCGTGCGTGCTCGGCTGCTGCGCAGGGCTTGCTTGGAGCTGCGCGGTCATGGCAGCTGCTCGCTACGTTCATGGACGGGTGCACGTGGCCAAGGGAGGAGCAGGCCACGAGGGCCCAACGTCATGCCTTCATAGGCACCATGGCCATGGAAGCTGCTGGAAAGAAGCTTCCGACGGCGTGCAATGTTCTTCTGGAGCTGTTATTCAAACGCCAGATCCGTGGCTTCAGAGGACTCGGCATGGGCCTGCATGAGGTGCACATCTTTTCGGAGCCAGGCCCGAAAATTAGAGGGGTCGAGACCATGTTGTCAATTGCGCATAATTGCGCTGGTCCCGCTCGGTCCCTTTCCAGGCCCAACTACGGCGGCCAAAACACCCGGAGAAGCTCGAGAAAAAGTCATGAACGCTGTGGAGACAGCCTTCTCACGCTTCAGGGACTGGCTGGAAGCCGAGAAACATTTCTTCAATGTTCGTGTGCTACATTGGTCAAGCGACCCTTGGAGCCAATCGCAATTTTCATTTATAAATAAATAAATAAATATATATATATATATATATATAGATAGTCATTAAGTATATATCTACACATATACGTCTATGTGTGCTTGTGATATATACCTCCATGGCATGCCCCCCTTAACCCTAAACCCTAAACACGGGTGGCAACAAAAATCCCTAAACCCTGACAAGAAAAAACCTAAACCCGAAACCCTGGTATCGCACCCCTAAACACTAAACCCTAAACTCTAAACCGTAACTCCCTGCTGAGTGGTTAGACTTTCTTTGAGACACCACTTGCCTGGCCTTCAGGAGGACATCCCAGAGCATCTATTGACGGCCAAAGGCTTGCAATCAGACGACATCCCAGAACCCCCCGAGGAGGACGAGGATGTGCTCAGTGAGGCTGAGGCGGTGGAGTCGGATATGACGCTGCAACAGTGGCTGGCTCATCAAAACCAACTGAAGTCAATCACAGGTGTCACCACAGCAGCCGCGGGGGAGATTGAAGACAAAACTGTGGAGGATGCTGGGTCGAGCGAGAGCGAGGCGGAGAAGGAAACCCTTGACCGGGATGGCGACTCAGATGAAGACGAAGGGTCCTGCTCATTTTCTGGCTCCTTGCCTTGGCCCGCAACATGCAGTGACTTGTCGCAGATCGCTGCGAAAATGGGCGAGGAAACAACGCGATTGTCTTATGTGTTGCGCAAACGCGTGGACAGTAATGGACGTCCCTGTGTCGTCGTCATGGAGACGAACCATGCGGATGCTCTTTTGTGGCAATGTATGGTGGGCCAAGAGCGCCTTTCTGTGAGAGGCTGTGTGCTTTGGCTTCCTAACATTCTAGAATGATGGAGCAATAGAATAATATATATATATATATATATATAAGCGGTATAAATATATAAATATGTAAATATATACATATATATGTGTGTATATATATAACATTCAATTCCCATTGGCCCTTTCTACTCAACTGAGGCTTTTCGGCCAAGTCTGCGTACACAGTTGCTAGCCGCTGGCCTGGTAGTCTTCAGGGCACTGCATGACCATTCCTGTTCACGTACTCGTTCCGACTTACACGCGCAAAAGGAATGTTTACAGCGGCTGGCAGGGGTCCTTGGCCGCTGGTGCTGGGGATACGAGAAAGCTGCGGTGACAATTCCAGATCCGCCAGCACAGCTTTTCCTGGCTCCCAGTCCCACAGAGTTGTGGAACATGTTTAGCGCCTTGAAGCAGCTGACGTCAGATGTGCTTCCCTCGTTGCCAGACTGGAACAAAACCTCGCTCTATTTGAAGGACATGGTTCTGCATGCCTGCTTGCTTCAGGTAAAGTTTGAGGTCGTTGCCAGCAGGCATGCCTGGCATCCGTTATACTTGATGCACGCCGTGCTCATGTGGAGCATGAATTCCTCGGCGGCTTGTGAAGGCGTGGGGTCCACTGTCAGGTTCATAGAACGCAAACACAAGGTGGGCAAACCTCTGTCTACAGGGCATCTGGTCCGTGCAGCGCAGCTGCGCCACCATGGCGTTCGTGGCGGTGTCGCCGACATCGGATTCTGCTTCAACGTCTGGCATGTCTACAAAAGCGAGCACAAGAAAGTACGGTTCTTCATTGGAGACTTGTCAACATGTTGCAGCAGCAGGGTTATTATATTGTTGGTGTTGTTGTGCTGTGTTACTTCCTTTATACTTCTTAGGTTTTGGTTTAGAGTTCAGGGTTTAGGGTTGAGGGTGTTGGGGTTTACGGTTGCCGGGCTTTGCCTAGCGCCTGGCGCCTTGCTTGCGTGGCAGGAGAACGTGCGAGGGATCGGCGCAGCTCTGAGCCAGGACGCCTCAGCCTGTCATTGACACTCCAGCGTCGGCGCTCGGAGCGAGCTGAACTGGCAAAGCACCGCCGCTGGCTGGGAAGCCCGGTGACGGTGCCGCAGGAACTGCTAGCGGTGCCGCGACGCAGCCTCAGAGTGCCCTTGGCTCGAGGTTTTGGGCGGTACAGTCCCGACGACCTTGGAGATGCAGAATGGACTGCCACAGCGTCGGTCCTGGCCCGAATGGGCTTGAGCCTTGAGGAACTCCCGGGGTAACATGAGCCATGCAGTGGGAGTAAAAAGCAGGATGCGCGACCAACTTCTCATGGTTGCGCTCCCCACATATCCTGAAAACCTTGAAGGCCCAGCCCCAGTAGCCGCAAAAACGCGATAAGGACGAAATCCCCCCCCACTAGAAGGCTCCTAGGCCAGCGGCCAGAACCCTGAAAACCAAGCTCCTGTAGTAGGTCCTGAACACTATAAACAAAACATCAAGCCGCCATTCCCGAGAAGGCTCCAGGATCGAGGCCCTAGATAGGTCGAGGTTGCTGATACCATGTACGCTGCACGCACCTGGCGGCAGGTGACCCTCGTGATGCAGAGCTGCTAGAGGAGTTCAAGACCTTCCTCAATCAGTGGCCTCCGCCTCAGTGCGTGTTGGCTTCCATGCAACTTAGGGTCGTTCGGTGCTCTCTTGGCCCTTGCTTACCGCCGCAGGCTCGAGAAGCAGCCCTCCTCGGGAAAGCCTGTGTGGGAACTCTTGACAGAGGACGCTTCGCAGTGTGGCGACTGGAGCAGGGTTTAGGGTTTGTAGGGTTATAGGGTTAAGGGTTTCTAGGGTTTACGGGTTTCAGGGTTTAGGGTTTCAGGGCTGTGCTTAGGGTTAAAACCTTAAACCTAAACCCTAAACCTCTGAGCACCAAAATCCCCCACCCTCTAAACCCTCCGAAACCCTAAAGCCCGACAGCTTAAACAGCTACAACCGAAAACCCTAAACCTTTAAACCCCTAAACCCTGAAACCTAAACCCTGACCCAGTCAGGAGCCCGACACCCCCCAAGCCCCGGAGCAACCTTCGCTGTCAAGCTTCGGTTTGGGACCCTTCTCCTCCGGGGTTTCGGGTTTTGGGTGTTAGGGTTTCGGGCTTAGGGTTTTAAATTTGGGTTTAGGGTTGACAGCATTTAGGGTTCAGACATGTCGGTGTCCTGGCAGGAGGTGCTGGCCATGGGACGAGAAAAATTCGCAAGCACACTGCGATGGCTCTTCCCCTACATCAAGGCGCCTGGCGTCTGTTATGCGAACTTGCAGAAGTTCAACAACAGCCCTTTGCCCACCAAGGGGTCTTTGCATGTATCTGGGCTTCGACTTAGTCTGGTGTCTGAAGTCTTAGGTTCGGACTCGGGGCAGACGGTGGCAATTAGTTTTTTAACCGCTGGCGTGGTTCACTTTGCGTGTGGCGCCTTGCGTCTTTCATTACGCCTTAGTCTCTGAGGGCTGCCTTTTGCAGGGGTGGGGTGCCTGCTTATTCGCTCAGGCTGCAAGTCCCTGGCCCCTGGGGGTCACAGGGCTGGATGATTTAGGGTTCATTTCTGCGTTTCCTGCTTGCAGACGCTGCCCTTCCAAGGTGGACATGCTCCAAGGATTCCGCGCAGAGGCGTACCCGTTGAAACCATTCTGGTCTGACATCGGCCTGGTTGCGAATGACATCATCGACCAGGGCTTCAAGCACACCCTGCATGTGCACCCGATCCTGGGAGCAGAGGTGAGCCGCCATAATTTGATATCTTGTCGCTGTATGTGCTCTCTTCCAGTGTAGCAGTGCCTTGATTCTAGGGGCCAGTGGCAGTGAACCAGAATGTTTACTACCATTGCTTGCATGGATTGCTCCTGTGCAGGGCGGTGTGCAGAGCGGCAGCGGGAACGTCTTCAGCTACGGTGCAGACGGTGGGCTGATTAACTCCACCAGGCTGGCGGCCATCTCTGTCTGCGCAGTGCTGTACACCGTGTTCGCGCTGAACGGCGGCGGGGAAGTGCGAGCAGGAATTTACGGTGCTGTGGGTGGCTTGATTCTAGGCTGCGGTGTTCATCGTTGGTTGCTGGGTTTGTATGGTTGAGGCGGCAGGACTTAATCGGGATTTAGGGGTGTAGGGTTTACGGGTTTGGGGGTTAGTGGGTTTACGATTCAGGCTCCAGTACCTTGCCCTACCCGGCTTGCCTTACCCGGCCTCAAGCTCTCTGTCCAAGGGTTGACCTGAAAGCCATCACTGTCGCTCTGACCAAGCAAGCCGCGAACACCAGGGTGTCGGTGAAGCTGGATGTCAGTGAGAGTCATGCGAACGTCCAGCGCCTGGCCCATGCCATGAGCCAGACAACGATGGACCGCCGGATTCACCGAAGTGCCTTGGCTGCCACGAAATTAAACCCTTACTAAACCCTAGACATGCCAGAGGCAAAGCTCAGTCAGGCTGTAGTGATATCTGGCACTGGCAGGTCGTGCGCCACGGTAGACTTTTTGGGCTCAGGGTTTCAGGAGAAAGGCTTCAAGGCTAGAGTTCAGAATCCTCATGGCGATGGTACGTGCGGGTCGTTCCCGCTCTCCTCCCGCCGCTGCCGCTGCAGACCAGCGACGGCCTCAGCGGCAACCGGAGCCGGAGAGGCCATTTCACCCACGATTCGGGTCCTTGGGCAGAGAGTATTACGGCATACTCGAATATCTCCCAGCAGATGCCTTGCCTACAGTGCCGCCGAGAGCAACCCATATGTATGACATTATCAAGCGCACTGATGGTGTCTACATCACCGTATACCTCAAGAAAAAAATCTTCGCCGTGCGGCACCCGAAGTTCGATCCCATGACCTACGAGGTGAGCATGCGGCAAGTCGGAGGCACCAACTACTCTTGGTTGCTCGCAAAGAGCGTGTCCCTGGCCTGGGCGAAGCTCTTGATCGCTGAGCCGAACGTGATGTTTAAGAGGGTCCAGGAGGTCGCAGATGGCGTCATTGACGAGCTCAAAGGCTGATGCATATGCCCAGCCGTGACAGTGACATGCTCTGACGGCTCTGACTGCCACAGTCGGGGGGAAAGACTGTGTGTGTGTGTTTGCGTAGTAGTGCCTTCTGCGTAGTGCTGTCTCACGTCGACTCTGCGACACAGTGACATGTGGTGACTGGTTCTGGTTCCCACAAGAAATAGGAAAGTAGTTGAATGAAATCCAATCAATCCTCGTGTCCAGAGCTGCTAGCCGCTAGTCTAGGACCAATCGCAGGACGCAAATACTCCTGGCAAAAGGCCATGTGCAGTGTGCTGTGTGTCCTGTGTCGTGTGCTGCGTGCGGCGTGCGCACAGCTCTTCCCTTGCGCAGTTAGCATGACGCTTTGGGGTTCAGTCGCCAAAGGCTTGGATCCCGTGACCATCGCAGAGGGCATCCTCGGACTGCTTGGGGACGCCAAGACGGCAACTGTGAAGAAGGTGATCGACATGCACAACATGAAGTTCTTCGCCAACAAGGTGACTTGTGCACACCAACATGACACGCTTTAGATGACAAACTTGATCAAACTTGCACCCAGGACCTGTGCATCACCGGCAAGTCTGAATCCAGATTGCTGAATATCGCTGCCATGCCAGCAGAAATCCGGATGTTGATTCGCAAGAGGACCGGGGATGGGTGAGGATGTACGACAGTGCTTTAATTTAAACCCTCAACCCTAAACCATAAACCCTAAACTCCCCAACCGTGAAACCTTATAACCCTACACCCGAAACCCTAAACTAAAGCTTATAAACCCCAAACACCAAAAATTACGAAATGCACACAGGGCGCCTACTACTGGTACTGGTACTAGTACGACTAGGACGAGTACTAATCCTGCTAATACTTCGAGTAGTAGGGCTACTACTCGGACTACTTGTTTCTGTTGTCAGTAGCAAGGCGCCTGCCACGGCGAAAAGATTTAGACTCCAGGGTTTAGGGTTTAGGGTTTAGGTTTCGGCCGCCTGCCATGGCGAGGTTGTTCATCTGAACCAGAAGGCGCGCAGCTCCGTTTGCGTAGCCTGAGGGCTCCTGGTTGTTTTCTTAGACCTAAATCGTTTACGGGATTGTGATGTCAGTAGGTAGGCGCCTGGCACGGGTTTAGGGCGCGAGCTAGGCTATAGGGTTTAGGATTTAGGGTTGCAGGGCAAGGTCGTTGTAGGCGCCTGCCACGGCGATAGGATTTAGGGTGGGTGTAGGGTATGGGGTTGAGGTTTTAGGGTTGCAGGTGTAGTAGGGTTTAGGGTGCCTTCCAGGGTGAGGTGGTTGTAGGCGATAGGACGTGTAGGCTATACATAGGGTTTAGGATTCAGGGTTCTGCGGCGAGGATCGATGAAGTGGGTTTCCGCAAGTCCGGATGGAGCAACAGCGTCTTCGATTGCCCCGCCTTGTATGTGGGCAAGACAGTTGGCAAGTTTTCCAACGCCGCCGTGGAATCCTTGTACTTGGTCTCAGAGGCTTCGCAACGGTCTGCTGTTGAGTGGCTGCATCAGGAGAAGGAAGAGGAGCAGACACAGGGTCACTGAACTTGTTTTAGGCTTGTGTAGCGAGCGGCATGTGCAGCATTGGATCAGTGGGTCCGTGGAAGAACACGTGCCATCGCACGCTGAGGCGAGGCTTTGCAAAAGCACCTTCGAAGAATTGTCCTGGGGACGAACATCGCCGCCAAAGCCCTGCAGCCTGCTGGTGCAACCAAGGCAGAGCTCGAGAAATGGGAGCAGGATGTGATGCAGGGGAAGTACAACAATGCGTTGGACGGCTTGACTTTCCCTGAGGACTTCAAAATGCTCGACCTCGCGAAGCATTTGAAGGGTACCATTGATGTGATGTGTCACATCATGGACCGCCTAGAGGACGCGAGGAACACAGAGAAAGGCCTGTTGTACAAATGACTACTTCCTCGACCTAGCAGACCTAGCACTGAACGCACTGAAGTTGTAGTTGAACACAAGTTTTAGTTCAGCATGGTTACACGACAAAGATTCTAGATGTCTCGAAAAGCCTAAGCCGACAACACAGCAACCAGCCCTGATGCCAGATGAAGCTGCCAAGATTTTTGCCCAGAAGAAGCGCGAGGTGCAAGCAAAAGCTTACATTGAGGGTCTGGCCAGCGACGTGGCCGTTTACAAAGACTTCCGTGCAGGGCTGGCGGGCAAGGTGGAAAAGTTCCGGAATGCAGTGGAGAAGGCCAAAAACGACAGAAACGACGCAGAGATCGCTGCAGCCCAACAGCTCTACAGGAGCTCTATGCGCTTGGAGTACGGCGAAAGCCCCAAGAGGACTGATCCGGCCAAGGATGCGCAGTTCGCAGCCTCAACCAGGGCGCGAGCTGATGAATTCTTCAAGGAGCGCTGCCAGCATGCACCTGACGAGATCGTGGAGCTCTGCGTGATAGACTTTGCCGGAAGCGCGATGAAGCAAAAGGCAGTGACCCTCGCCCTGTCCTGCGCGTCCCACTGGAGCTCTGTGAAGCTGATCGGGCACCCCCGGGTGCCCACGAATCGTGCCAAGAAAGTCAGGACGGGCAGGGCTGACGATGGTGATGAGGAGGACCCGGCAGCTGGCGAGGACGAGCCGATGGAGAATGAGGAGGAAGATGAGACCCTCCCGAGTGTCCCAGCCCAGGGAGCGATCATGCAGAGCAAGATGCAGAAGCTGGGCAGTTTGTCGAAAGACATACGGCAGTTTCGCAAGGAAATGGAGGCCGATACCCTCCACTACGATGCGCCATTCACAGTGATGTTCTCGGAGGGTAGCCGAGCGAAGGCTCGGCAATTCTCTGTCCTCGTGCCCAAGGCATCGGCCAGCACCGGGGGTGAGAAGTCAGCGTGGGACTGGCTGGAGTCGTCCATCCTGCTCGATGGAGGTCTCGTCCTTTCAGATTCCAGTCCTCAATCGTATGTGCGTTGCTCACCGAGCCTTTCCCTGGCCTGAGCAGCGTCTTTTTTGAGGTCTGATATACACGCAACATCCTGTAGCCATGACAGTGATATAGGCATGTCATAGACATTGGCGTGGGGTGCGTGTCATGGAAATGATAGGTTCAGCTTCAAACGGCTTAAAGATTCGCACTGTGTATTCAGGAACGCAGCAAAGAAGGCAAGAACATCCAACACGGTGGAGCGTGTCTCCATGAACCAGGCGTCTGAAATTCAGCGAGCGCAGCTGGGCGCTGTTGCAGTTCGCAAGTTGCTGGAAGCCTTTCTCGCTGACCTTCCCTCGGAAACTGCTTGTGTGCAATTCAGCTGTTTGCACTTTGGAGCTGGGTGCTGGCCGGAGGGCTTCGCACAGCTTTTGAGGCACAGGCCAGCTCCACACTCGCACAGCCCCTTGTCCACCCTGAGCGTCCTTTAACCCACTGCCCTAGCTTTGAATAATTCTCCAGCCGGGTCGGCGGCATGTGCCCGGATTTTCTAAATGTCATGTTTTTTGGATCCACAGGGCTTTAGGGTCTAGCCTTGACACTTGAGGGTTTGGAGGGTTTCAGGATGTTGGTTGGTTTGAGGCCCTAGGCTTTGTGAGCCCTGAACCCGCCCAATTCGGAATAGGTTTAAAATTGTGGGGGGTGAGGCCGGGAGGATTTTCCGGAAAGAGTTTTTATCATTAGGGAGGGATTTAATGAAAGCCTAGGGCCTAGAAGTGATTATTAGGGAAAGTTGGAAAGGATAAGTATGGAGGGCGCAAGCCCAAGCTTGGATTATTAGAACCCCCAGGGCGACCAAATCCGAATCCCAGTGTCGTTCCTGGCACAGGCTGGAAGCTGGCAAGGACAAGCCGAAGATCCTCATGTATGGCATGGACACCGCGGAGCACTGCTACGCAGTGGCGCAGACACGCTGTGTGGAGGTGTTCTTGAACGCCTTCGCTGCGGATGCCAGACTGCCTGGAAGTGAGAAACTCCCAGCACGGGTCAGTGTGAAGCCGCCGGATGTCAACGCCTTGGCAGGAGCACTTCAGGTGCGGTGCTTCCTTATCCGTCTTTCAAGGGATTAAGGCTCGTACCCTTTAAGGTTGCAACCCTAAAGGTTTCCCTTGCTATACCCGGAATATGGCCCCTAGATTCCCCCAGAAATCTTAGAAAGGGTCCCCAAAACCCAAGGGTACAACCATAAGCGTCCCCCTAGAGCCTTGGCGTCTTGACTGCGGGTTTTCCAGCATTTTTTGAGCCTGGCAGGCGCAGATGAAATCATGCATGGTGTTGCGTGATGGGAGCCTGCTCGTGCAGCAGCCGCCTGAAGACCTGTCCGACATCGAGGAGTTGAAGCTGGCCTGGGGCGATGCTAGAGCGTTGGCGGAGCAGCTGGGCGTCCCGTCGCTCGAGGCACACACTGGTGAGTCTGGTGAAGTCGTGTCGTTGCAGAAGCAGGCTACGCAGTTTGTGCCGGACAAGGAAGACTTGGAGGAGGACGCCGCTCAAGCTGCTTGGACACCAAAAGAGTTCTACGAGGTGTTTATCGAGGTGCAGGAAGGGGAGCGAGTGGAGAAGATCCCAGAGCTTCAGCTGGTCCTGGCCAAGCGGATCCACGAGGAGGCGGGAGGGGGGGTTGGGGGGGCAACGAACATAATTTGTTATGACTCCAAGCCTCCAAGCCGAAGGAGGACGAGGATTCGAGTTGCATGGACAGCGACGAGGGTGAGAGTCACAAGAACCCGAATGAGTGCCTGTATCTTTTTCTGCGAAACACTTCCCAGAGCGACATCACCGCTGAGAGTATCTTGGTGGACCTGGGAGCAAGCTGTAACTTGTTGCGGTCTGTTGTGATTGAGTGTCAGTTCTATAGGGGATGGGCATGGGGCTGCAAGCCTGCTAAGGCTTGACGCAGATCTGTGGTTGTGGAAAGAGTACTTTTGCGGTGGAGGGTGCAGCGGGCCCAGCCGAAGGACGATGTCTGGAATGGGGCTTCTCAGCCAGATCAGCTACACAGTGCATCATTGCCTTCGAAGCGCCTTCAAGCTCGTTGGGTGCCGGCGGGCTGAAGGCGACAAGTGTGACAGAGGCTCTGAAATGCTCCGGTGTGCGTTTTGGTGAATCTGCTTCCCCAGACTTGTTCGTGCCTTGGGGAGGTTCTGAGTCACGGATTGTGTACATTCGGTGAGTATATACTTTGTACCAATATGACTGAGCCACACCCGGAGCTTACGCATCCGTCTCTGGGCGAAGTAAGGTCTGGAACTTCCGGAGCACTGTTGGGCCCAATGGTGTGCAACTTAAACGCCTTGCCCCAGCATACTCGCGAGTCAGCGAGGATGCTGCCACCTTGACGCGCTACAACGTTGCTTTTCTGTATGGACTTTCAAACTTCGAAACTGTGTGCCATGAGGCATAGTTTAAACCCTAAGCCCTGAACCCTAAACCCTAAACCCGGGTGGGCCCAATATTCACAATCCAAGTCCAAGGCAGGTCGCTATGTGATCCCGTCCATAGAGGAAGGTGGCAAGCCGGCATCACCGTCCGACAAGCTCTTGGCAGATGGACTTCAGCTGCTGCCTGTGATGGTCGTGAGCCCCAAGGGCGTTGAGCAGGCTATGGGGTCTAAGGAGGACCTTCCTGAGAAGCCAACCCATGTTTTGAGTCCTGCAAACGGCGATGTTTCCTGGCGAATCTTCACGTCTGCACGCTTGACTGTGCCAGCAGGCCATTTCATGGCTGTGTCGAACGTTGATGTCATGGCGCCAGAAGAGCAAGATCCAGTTGAAGACTAAAGTTGGGTTGTTTGGTGGCATCGGGCATAGGGCTTAAGGAATCCCAAACCCCCGAAACCCTAAACTTTAGTCAGCAAAGCTCTTCAACTTGCTTGCATTTTCCGTGCGAAGAGTGGGCCTCACATGCAGCCATCTCTCGAATGAGTGGGCCTCAAGCATGCAGCCGGCGCGGATGCCCGCAGCCAGCAAAAAATGGCGTGCTTTGTCGTTCGTGTTTACTCCAATATGTTTTAGCATTTTATAACAACTGCAGTCCTATCTTTGTTGTATTTTGGAAGCCCACCCACCCACCCTGAGTTTGGAGCTTGGGGTGTGTGTGTTTTCCCTTAACCGCTGATCGTGAGAAGGTCACTGACGCTTGGTGGCAGCGCAATGCTTGTACAGGCGTACCATTGGTCACTTTTGACGGCACTGGTCTTTTCCATAGGTGTCAAGCACGCCTGCTGGTGCTATGTTGTCTTGGATTCCTTACCAGCCCCTCTTTGTGGTTTCGTTTTACTGGTTTTAAGTATTAAGTGTTTTTTATGAGGAGGTCGAGGGAATCCATAGGCTTTTCTGGACATGGTATCTCTTCTGTTGCCAAACTTCGGCCGCCACTTTCAAAAAGAGAATCCGAACGTCAGTGCAGTTTCATTCACGGTGTGCAGTGCAGTGAGCAGAAGCGCCAGTGTTGTCCTAAACCCTGAACCCGAAACCCCTGAACTCAACCCTAAACCCAGAACATTTGAACCCATAAACCCTTAGACCCTAAACCCCAAAGCTCGAAGCCTGGCCCTCAAGCCCTGAGCCTGACTCACCGAGCCCATGAGGTTTAGGGTCCCTCTACCTCGTAAGCCCAAACCCCAAGGCCAGAAAGCTGCGGGCAGCAACGAGCAGCGAGCGGCTGCGGCGGCCGATGCAGCAGCAGCAGTAGCAGTAGTAGTAGCAGTACCAGTAGCAGTAGTACTGCTAGCAGTGCTAGTAGTCCTAGTAGTGTTAGTGCTAGTAGTACTAGTAATACGAGTAGTACTAGTAGTACTAGTAGTACTAGTAGTACTAGTAGTACTAGTAGTACTAGTAGTACTAGTAGTACTAGTAGTACTAGTAGTACTAGTAGTACTAGTAGTACTAGTAGTACTAGTAGTACTAGTACTAGTAGTACGAGTGATACTGGTAATGGTACTAGTAGTACTGGTGGTACTAGTAGTACTAGTAGTACTCGTAGTACTCGTAGTACTAGTAGTACTAGTAGTACTGGTAGTACTAGTAGCTTGGAAGTGACCTTTGATTTTTTTTCATAGAAAACCTTGTAATAAACAGAAATCCCAACCCGTGCAAAACCACCAAAAAACATGTTCAACATCAGGTTCCAGTCGCGAAACCCCCGCCTCCGCCCCACCAGCCCAGCCTATCCCCAGCCTAGTTCCCAAAGGAAAACCAGCCCCCAAATCCCAACCCAGCCCAGCCTCCCGGCTCACCAACTGAAAAACCAAGTTCAAGAAGGAAACCCCGTCAAAACTTTCGGTCAAAACGTTTTTGGCACCCAAACCCTTAACAATTTCTATGAACCCGAAACCCTAAAGCCGCTGATCCCTAAACGCTTAAGCCGCTGATCCCAAAACCCTTAAGCCGCTGATCTAGGACATGAGGGTTGGTGCCAACTTGGCAGGACGCTGAACGCTTCAGGGCAGCTACGAGCATCCTTCAGCAACAGCAACATCCCAACCGCAGAGACCCGTAAATCCTAAGCCCTAGCTTATCTATACCCTAGACCCGAAACCCTAATATAGAAGCCCAAACAATTACCAATACCATTATTCCTTAGGGCTCCTTATTGTAAGTATACTATAAACGAGCCCAAAACTTAACTACTAGGGACCCTACATCGAGAGCAATTTTGAGCAGCCTCACGGTCAGAAGCCTTAGCTTAAAGGACGAAGCCATGCAGCATCTGTAAAGGCAGAGCGCCTCCGCTACGAAAGGGACCTTGAAGAGGCCAGCACCTTAGGGCCTCACATCCTGACGCAGAACCCTATAAGGGTCCAAGTGCTCCCTATTGCAGGACTTGGGGTCCATGTTGGGTACCAAAAAACCATACATAAGGACTACTTGGCGCTTAAGGCAAACAGTTTGTAGTTAAGTCGTGAAGCCGAAGCCCTGGTTCTCGAGAGAACCTGAACCCTCCATGAGCCAGAAACCTTGAACAATGGACCCCAAACCTTCAAATGAGAAATCGGGCCATTCTGTGGGCCTCATCTCCAATAGACCTAACATGGTGGTTGGAAAAACCAGCAATACTAGACTTGGTCCTTTTCGTCCCTATATCATGGTAGTATAGTCGACCCTAAGCCCTCTTCCAGATCAAACTCATTCAGGCTCATTAGGCCTCTCTATGAAGCTCTTGAAGCAAGCCTGGTTATGACAACCTTTATAATGCACTCTTGAAGACTCTATAAGACATTGTAATTACAGCCCAAGGCCCAATTAGGGTCCTTTTACCCATCATTGAATCCATCATCGGCGCGCCCATGCGGTTGAAGCCGACTAATGTAGCTCAGTTCTGAAAATTCAGGCCCCTTTGCGAATCAGAACATTTTAGGAACCCGTCAAAAGGAACTCTGTTCCAACTGTTCAGGCCGCTATGGTACTTGTAATCCAGCTAGGTATACTATGGTCGAGGTTGTTTCTTGTTCGGGTGTGGAGTTTATAGTCAATAGCGTATTATCAGCGGGTTAAGGGTTTTTAGTGGGGTTTAGGGCTTAGGGTTTAGGAGCTCATGTCCTTCGGGTTAGTTACTCTAGGTAGAACTATATGGGGGTTTCCGAAAATTGGGGGTATTTTGTGTTGGGGTCCTTATAATAAGGATCCTACTATTTGGGGTACTATATTAGGGTCCCCTATTCTCGGAAATCCTCATATTCCGAACTGGTATTTTTGAATGCCTGCTCCCAACAGCCCAAAACCCTTGAATGCATTGGCATTTACACATCCTAAACCCTAAAGCCTAAACCCTAAACCCCTAAACCCTAAACCCTAAAGCCTAAACCCTAAACCCCTAAACCCTAAACCCTAAAGCCTAAACCCCAAACCCCTAAACCCTAAACCCAAAGCCTAAACCCCAAAACCCTAAACCCCAAACCCCTAAACCCTAAACCCAAAGCCTAAGCATCCTAAACCCAGAAGCCACGAGATCAGGTTCGGAGAGGTTCGATCTGGAACTTCGGGCATAAGACCTTCAGCAGCAAGGGGCTTTTTGATCACAAAGCACCCTAGAATCCCGTAATGGCGCGGCCGAGTATTTCGGAAAATGCGTTCGTCACTAGGGTGAAACTAATAGCTCTATTGTCACTTGTTGGAGGGATCTTGCTCATGCGCTGGATTTTGCTCCTGCTTCGGCTTTTGCTCTTGCTCCTTCACTTGCTCTTGCTCCTGCTCTTGCGCACGCCCTTGCCCCTACACCTGCTCTTGCGCCAGCTCTTGCTCCTGCTTTTGCATTTGCTCTTGCACCTCCTACTGTTCTTGCTCCTGCTACTGTTCTTGCTCCTGCTTTTGCTCCTTGGCACCTGAAGCCCTCTAATGCAAATTACGTTTGAACGGGCGAGGATGATTTGAGGGTGGTTTTTCGACAACCGTTATCAGTGGAGTGTTTAGCAAATGGGGGAAGGAATTTGAAGCCGTTTAACATCGCGAAAACAATTTATCAAACCATTACACAAGCCTGTGAAAGGCCACCCCCCCACCTAAAACGATTGTATCAAATTGCATGAACCCTAATTACAGCGACCTCTTTGGGGATGCAGCGCTTTAGACTTGAGCTTTCGTTTGGGAGTCTGCCCATAGCCCAAAAAGTCTAAGTTTCTGGGGGTTGGGGAAAGCCGTAAACTCCACACCCCGTACGCAAACATATCTCCGGTGGAGGTCGTTGAGGACGACGGGATCGATCCCGAGGCCGGACAGCCTCACTTGTCTCAAACCGGTAAGTTTTTGTGGGGTGTTGTTGGGTCACACTGGGTTCTTACATGTTTTATTGGGTTCTGATGTTTTGCAGTAAAGACGATACGTGCCAGACCCATCCTCAAACGGTACATTACGGCAGTGATTGGCTCACGGGGCTTCCATTTCAATATCGTTCATTCGGACGAAGAGCCGTTTCTATGCAGTAATAGTTAATAGCAGCAGCAGCGGAGGAGGAGGACCAGTAGTATCCGCCAGAGCACCCCGACCCTCGACCTGGAGACCAGCAGAACCGACTTGCTTGCACCGTCTTGGCCATGTGGAAGTTACAAGGGCTTTTCAAAAAGGCAGCTCCTGGCAAGTAATCCTAACTCCTAAAAACCTTGTTGGCTCGTTTGGTTCCGCCCGTGCTGCTACTAACAGCCACCATGCAATTCACAACAAGTGAATGCACAAATTGGTAGATACACAAATGACAGATAGCTGTGGGGTGTAAAAATTATATAGGGCCGAAGTAATTACCAATACTATTTGGTTGGCTCCTTATTATAACTGCAGTATACTGGGCCCCAAAACCCTATTCTAATTACTAAAGCCTCTATAGTATTTTGATAGGAAAGCCCGACTGTGCTAGAACGCTAAACCCTGAGCCTCACCGGAGGAGATGGCCCAAAGTGGCGTCAAGAGGAAGGCCGGCAGCTCCCGGGTTTGGGATTGAGGCTTGGGGGCTTAGGACTGGCCAGGGTTTAGGGGTTTAGGGGTTTGGGGGTGTAGGGTTTAGGATTTATACAGGGGTTTAGGGTTTGGGGGTTTGTCTAGGGTTTAGGGGTTACGGGGTGTAGGGTTTAGGGTTTATATAGGGGTTTAGGGTTTGGGGGTTTGTTTAGGGTTGAGGGGAGGCGGCCTGCTGGCTTCAAAAACTAGCTTTCTGCTTTGGAAAAAATCAACCTGAGCTGGTGCACGAAGGCTGAAGTTGGCGGGTTCACTTTGGAGAGTTGCTTGGGGCAGCCGATTTTTTCGGGACGGAACAGCCGTAAAGACCTTCCAGGTGTCTTCGAGGGGGTGGG